CTGGCAAAAATTGAAGACAAAACCCATTGTAAGAAAGGATACGGAGGGCAGGCAAAGAGGCTCACACCTATAATCCCAACACTTTGGGAGGCCAAGGTGGGAGGATTGCCTGAACCCAGGTGTTTGAGACCAGCCTGGCCAACATGGTGAGATTCCATTTCTACAAAATTTTTGTAAGGGTGTGGAAAATATCTGGGTACTCTCATGCATGAATGAAGTGTAAATTGGTACCTTTACATAAGGCAGTAAAAAAAATGTAAAAATTAAAGATGTTAAAAAAAAAATGTAAAGTGTGTATTTCCCCCCAGAAAACCTACTTTTAGGAATTCATCTTATGATTATTTTATTGAGATGGCATTTTGCTCTTGTTGCCCAGGCTGGAATGCAATCTCTGCCTCCCAGGTTCAAGTGATTCTCCTGACTCAACCTCCTGAGTAGCTGGGATTACAGGTGCACGCCACCATGCTCAGCTAATTTTGTATTTTTAGTAGAGACGGGGTTTCACCATGTTGGCCAGGCTGGTCTTGAACTCCTGACCTCAGGTGATCCATCCACCTTGGCCTCCCAAAGTGTTGAAATTACAGGTGTCAGCCACAGCACCCGCCCTCCATACCGTTTCTAATAATGGGTTTTGTTTTACATTTTATAATATATAATAACTATAATTATATGTAATATACAAGAAATATGATCATGAAGAAATGTATGCAAAGATATTCACTGGAACATTGTCTATAATAGCAAACGACTGAAAAGAAGCTAAATGTTGTTACCTGACTGGGCCTACTGTTAAGTAAGGGATGACGTATTCTTCCAATGGAATTATTTTGCATTATTTCAGGTCATTTAAAATGATAGATGTGGCTGGGCGTGGTGGTTCACACCTGTAATCCCGGCACTTTGGGAGGCTGAGGTGGGCGGATCATGAGGTCAGGAGATCAAAACCATCCTGGCTAACACAGTGAAACCCAGTCTCTACTAAAAATACAAAAAATTAGCCAGGTGTGGTGCTGGGTACCTGCAGTCCCAGCTACTTGGAAGGCTGAGGCAGGAGAATCCCTTAAACCAGGGAAGCAGAGGTTGCAGTGAGCCGAAATCGCGCCACTGTACTCCAGCCTGGGTGACAGAGCAAGACTCTGTCTGAAAATATATAAGTAAAAAAATAAATAAAATGACGGATGGAAATCTTTACAATTAACATTAAAAAATCACTTCCTGGCTTGGCATGGTGGTTCATGCCTGTAATCCCAGGACTTTGGGAAGCTGAGGTGGGCAAATCACCTGAAGTTAGAAGTTCAAGACCAGCCTGGCCAATGTGTTGAAACCCTGTCTCTACTAAAAATGCAAAAATTAGCCAGGCATGGTGGTGGGTGCCTATAATCCCAGCCACTCAAAAGGCTGAGGCAGGAGAATCGCTCGAACCGGAGGTGGAGGTTGCAATGAGCTGAGATCGTGCCACTGCACTCTAGCCTGGATGACAGAGCAAGACTCAGTCTCAAAAAAATAAAAATAAAAATCAGTTTCTTGCCAGGTACAGTGGCATTGGCTACTTGGGAGGTTCCAGCTACTTGGGAGGTTAAGGCCAAAGGAAAACTTGAGCCCAGGTTTGAGGCCAGCCTAGGCAGCATGGCAAGACACTGTCTCTATTAAAAAAAAAAAAAAATCAGTTACACAACATAGTTTTGAATGAAAATGGCAAATTAATTAGCAGTTGCACGGCATATTATCCCTTTCACAGTAAAGATATATGAACATCTGTATGTACATATATGCAGAGATAGATGTCTGAAAGGGTATTTACCAAAATGTGTTGTAATAGTAGTTCTTCCTAGGACATGAGATGTCAAGTGATTTTAAAAATGTTTTATAAGCAAGCATAGTGCATTTTTCATGAGCATATAGTATTAGGTATCCATAGTATCAAACTCCCTACTTGATGGCAGGGACTGTGTCTATTTCATTCTTTTTATACCTGGAACCACGCACAGTCTGGTTCAAAATTGGTACTCCAACAATAACTGCTGTATGAATTATCCTTTATTTTTTCTGAGAAGCAAAAAATAAAAAAATTACATAACTATCAAGTATTTCTCTACAGATGACTTGTGGTTTTTGAAGGAAAACAGTCTTTCTTTATTTTTGTGAGTCAGAGTCTTGCTCTGTTGCCCAGACTGGAGTGCAGTGGCGTGATCTTGGCTCACTGCAACCTCCGCCTCCTAGGTTCAAGTAATTTTCCTGCTTCAGCCTTCTGGGTAGCTGGATTACAGGCGCCCAGCTCATTTTTGTATTATTTCAGGTTATCTACCCATCTTGGCCTCCCAAAGTGCTGCAATTACGGGCATGAACCACCATACCAGGTCTAAAACACTCTTTATTATCACATTTTGTGTAATGAGTGTATTTCAAAAACAAAATACAAAACACCAAGAGGCCTTCTGCACAAGTAAAAATATAAAAGGATAAAAAGTTTATACTGTAGTATATACTGTATTTCAGTCTATTTTATCCACATTTATAAAGACACTCATATACATGCTGCTTTGCAAAAATTGGGTCAAATCTTGCATACCATATTGTAATGTAATATGCTTTTCTCAACAATTTATGGCAAACACTTCTTTGTGAGAATACACTTTTTTTTTTTTAACATAATTTGCAGTACGTTATAAATATTTCATGGTTTACTTAATAATTCTTTATTGCTAGCATTTTAGATTGCTTAATTTTTTTCTTTTTTTTTTTTTTTATTTGAGACGGAGTTTCACTCATGTTACCCAGGCTGGAGTGCAATGGCGCGATCTCGGCTCACCGCAACCTCCGCCTCCTGGGTTCAGGCAATTCTCCTGCCTCAGCCTCCTGAGTAGCTGGGATTACAGGCACGCACCACCATGCCCAGCTAATTTTTTGTATTTTTTTTTTTTAATAGAGACGGGGTTTCACCATGTTGACCAGGATGGTCTCGATCTCTTGACCTCGTGATCCACCTGCCTCGGCCTCCCAAAGTGCTGGGATTACAGGCCACCGTGCCCGGCGCTTAATTTTTTTAAACTTATTTTGAGACAGAAACTTGCTCTGTTGCCCAGGCTAAAGTGCAGTGGCATGATCCTGGCTCACTGCAACCTCTGCCTCTTAGGTTCAAGTGGTTCTCTTGCCTCAGCCTCCCAAGGAGCTGGGATGCACAACCATGCCTGGCTAATTTTTGTATTTTTAGAAGACGGGTCTTTACTATGTTGGCCAGGCTGGTCTCAAACTGCTGACCTCAGGCGATCTGCCCGCTTTGGCTTCCCAAAGTGCTGGGATTACAGGCGTGAGCCACCACGCCTGGCCTAAATCTTCATACATGTCTTTAATTATTTCCTTGATGTAAACCACTAAGCCGTGGAGTTTTGCTAGGCCACCATTTTTATGATTGAAGCTTTTGATACTCATGTTTGAGAAAGGTTACACTGGCCGGGAGATGTGGCTCATGCCTATAATCCTAGCACTTTGGGAGGCCAAGGTGGGTGGATCACCTGAGGTCAGGAGTTCAAAACCTGCCTGGCCATCATGGTGAAACCCCAACTTTATTTAAAAAAAAAAAAAAAAAAAGAGAAAGTTTACACCAATTTATACTCACATTATAAGGCCACTTTCTTAGACAATGCCAATCATTCAATATTTATTAAGTGCCTACCACTAAGCTAGGGCACTGTGTGGTAGCTGCTCTCTCACTAGAACTGGACATTGACATTCTTTGTTTTCTTTGCAAACTTAAGCTAAAAATGGTATCTCAATGTTTATTAAGCCTGCTTTAGTTACTGCCACTACCATTTCTACTGTCTTTATGAATTATCTGTGCATCTTGTTTGCCCATTTATCTAAGGTGCAGTGGTTTTCTGGTTTTATAAGAGCTTTTTGGCTGAGTGTGGTGACTCACGCCTATAATCCCAGCACTTTGGGAGGCCAAGGTGGGCAGATCACTTGAAGTCAGGAGTTTGAGACCAGCTTGGCCAACATGGTAAAGCCCTGTACTCTAGTAAAAATACAAAATTCAGTCAGGCATGGTAGCACATACTTGCAATCTCAGCTACTTGGGAGGGTGAGGCGGGAGGATTCCTGGAACCCAAAAGGTAGAGGTTGCAGTGAGTCGAGATTGTGCCACTGTATTCTAGCCTTGGTGACAGAGACTGTCCCAAAAACAAACAAAACCAAAAACAGCAAAAAAAAGAGCTTTTTTGTTGTTGTTTGTTCTTGTTGAGACAGAGGGTAGCTGTCACCTAGGCTGGAGTACAGTGGCACAATCTCGACTCACCGCAACCAACCTCTGCCTTCCAGTTCAAGCAATTCTCTTGCCTCAGCCTCCCGAGCAGCTGGGATTACAGGCGCCTGCCACCACGTCTAGCTAATTTTTTATATTTTTTAGTAGAGATGGGGTTTTACCGTGTTGGCCAGGTTGGTCTCAAACTCCTGACCTCTAGTGGTCCGCCCACCTCGGCCTCCCAAAGTGCTGGGATTACAGGTGTCAGCCACCATGCCCGGCCAAAAAAGAGCTTTTTATTAATTAAAAATTTAAATGTTTGTAATATGTTGCAAATATTTGCTCCATTTATTTAAACGATATTTACTCAAGGACCACTATGCGACTGGCACTGGTCTAGGTGCTAAGGCTACAGTAGTGACTGAGATAAAAATCTTTGTTCTAAAATAAAATTAAACAAACAAACAAACAAACAAAACAAAACAAATCTTTGTTCTAGCCTGGGCATGAGGGCTCATGTCTGCAATCTCATCATTTTGAGAGGCTGAGGTCAAGAGTTTGAGGCCAGCCTGGCCAACATGGCGAAACCCTTTAGTCTCTACTAAAAATACAAAAAATTAGCCAGGCATGGTGGCAGGCACCTATAATCCCAGCTACTTGGGAGGCTGAGGCAGGAGAATTGCTTAAACCTGGGAGACGGCCGTTGCAGTGAGCTGAGATCATGCTATTGCACTCCAGCCTGGGTGACAGAGCAAGATTCTATCTGGAAAACAAAAAAAAAAAATCTTTGTTCTAATTCTACTGTCTCCTGTCATTTGACTTTTAATTTTGTTTATGATATTTTCAGGAAGGTATCTAATCAAATCTACGAACCTTTCATTTTAGGGTATCTGTCTTTGATATCTTTCTTATGTATTATTTTTATTAAAAAAAATTGAAAAGGCTAAAAAAGTTCAACATCTCCATAGTTCCAAAGTAACCCAGTCATGATTCAAAAACAGCCACTTACATCTGTGTCAACCCACTGGCGAACATCCATGGGTGGAGCTGTCATGTCATCTATTTTGTAAACAATGTTGGTTGGAGCCTTCTCTGTATGTCTGATGATCCCCACAATAGTGACCTAGGTGAGAAGGAAAACAAAACAAAAAAAAAGAGTCCTGTTTCCCCTGAAACCAAGGCTACATTTTTGTACTTTTAAATGAAGTAAATCTTATTTCATTCATTATTATTAGTGATTCTTTCACAAATTATTTGGCATACCTGTGAAATCTCAACATTCCCAATTCTGAACACTTCATCAACCAAAGTGGCAGAAAGCAGCTGAGATATAGTACAGGGCACAATGTGCTGGGCTCGGGCTCTCTGAAAAGAAAAAGCATGCAAAATTCAATTAAGAAAGTAATAACTACCACTCATTCAACACCTGCCATGTGCCAAGTACTTTAAGTATATTAGCACATTGAATTTCACAACAAATTTCATTATCCTTGCTTCACAGAGGTGGAAACAAAGGTCATGTAGCGAACCAATACCACGGTTTTAGAATCCAACCCCAGGATTGTCTAACTCCAGAGCTTCTGCTGAATAGACAAATGTGTTACACTGAGAATTCACCAAAATGAGTAGGTCAGAGTGAGGAGGACAGGAAAAGGAAGAATGATCTGCTGTTGCCAGAACAGACCTTCAAGAGGAAACCCCAGCTTCAGGGTGTAGACAGGCTGATGTTGCTGTTCAGGGCACTGACAAAATAAGATGGTATTGGGAAAAGGTTTGAGAAATGGCCAGTGGTAACAGGGCTTTGGAATTGCTGTAGATCTTGTGATAAACTATAAAAGGTAGAAGAATAACTTCTGGTAGGACAGATTTTCTGACAATCAAATGGAGCTCCTGGGGAAATGAAATAAGAGCTTGGCCATGTTGGACATCTTTTAAAATTTTATTTTTTGGCCGGGCGTGGTGGCTCATGCCTGTAATCCAAGCACTTTGGAGGTGAAGGCCGGCGGATCACCTGAGGTTGAGAGTTCAAGACCACTCTGACCAACATGGTGAAACCCCGTCTTTGAAAAAAATTTAAAAAAATTTATTTTTTTGAGACAGAGTTTTGCTCTTGTAGCTCAGGCTAGCATGCAATGGCGCCGTCTTGGCTCACTGCAACCTTGACCTCCTGGGCTCAAGTGATTCTCCTGCTTCAGCCTGCCGAGTAGCTGGGATTACAGGTGTGTGCCATCATTTTGTATTTTTTGTAGAGAAGGGGTTTCGCCATGTTAGCCAGGCTTGTCTTGAACTCCTGACCTCAGGTGATCCACTCGCCCTGGCCTCCCAAAGTGCTGGGATTACAGGCATGAGCAACTGTGACTGGTCAAATTTTATTTTTTGAGATGGGGTCTTGTTCTGTCACTCAGGCTGGAGTACAGTGGCACGATTATAGCTCACTGCAGCCTCAAACACGTGGGCTCAAGCAATCCTCCTCCTACAGTCTCCCGAGTAGCTGGGACTATAGGCACACCACCACACCAGCCAATTGAAAAAAAATTTTTTTTTGTAGAGATAGGATTTCACTATGTTGCCTAGGCTGGCCTTAAATTCTTGGTCTCAAGTGATCCTCCCACCTCAGCCTCCCAAAGTGTTGGGATTATAGGGATGAGCCACTGTGCTGGACTCATGTTGGACATCCTAGGGGGAAGAGGCAGGACGAGGTGGACAGAACAGTATCTAGTGAGGACACTCAAATCATATCTTTTTTTTTTTGAGACACAGTCTCATTCTCTACCCAGGCTGAAGTACAGTGGCACGGTCTTGGCTCACTGCAACCTCTACCACCTGGGTTCAAACAATTTGCCTGTCTTAGCCTCCCAAGTAGCTGGTATTACAGGCGCATGCCACCACGCTTGGATAATTTTTGTATTTTTTGTAGAGATGGGGTTTGACCACATTGGCCAGGCTGGTCTCGAACTCCTGACCTCAGATGATCTGCCCACCTTGGCATCCCAAAGTGCTGGGATTACGGGCGTGAGCCACCATGCCAAGCCTAAATCATATCTTAAAGCAGCCAGACAACAGTGTAAACTTAATTTTGCCTACCAGTGACAAGGGGTAGTCTAGGTAACATAAAGATGAGTACAATGGAATAGGATTGACCCTCAACACATTCCTAATCTAGGGGAGGTACAAAGGTAAATCACAAACCTGGCCTTGATACACTGAAAAATGAAACATGCCATGTGGGATCTCAGAAAAGCTTAGGGGGAACACAGGGAGGCTTTAGGCTAAACTATGAAGCATGAGAATTTCAGCAGTGAAAAACTAGCAGGTAACAGGCTAAGGGCAAATATGTACTCCCACAGTCTCCTAGAGGGAATATGTGCAAGGCACAAAAATGATGAGAGTTCTTCCTATCAGAAGCCAAGAGAGGCGAGGCGTGGTGGCTCACACCTATAATCCCAGCACTTTGGGAGGCCGAGGCGGGTGGATCTTCTGAGGTCAGGAGTTCGAGACCAGCCTGACCAACATGGAGAAACCCTGTTACATTCATAAATAAATAAATAAATAAAAAGGAGCCAAGAGAGAGTGGACCAATACCTGTACTACATGGGAGACTTAGAACACAGTACTCCTGGCCTTCATGGATTTAGCATTCACAACTCAGACCTGAACATTCGTGACACTGACAATATTACACTCTGCTGAAGCATGATTTTGAATGATCAGTATTGCCACAACAGGATAAAGGAAGCTCAGTCAACCGCTGGCACATATGCCACAAAACACAGCAGCCAAGCTTGAAGGTTAAGATTGTGGCTCTATTTTCAAGAGTAGTTGCTTGTCCAAGCGTGGTGGCTCATGCCTATAATCCCAGCACTTTGGGAGGCCAAGGGGGGCGGATCATTTGAGGTTAGATCAAGCCTGGCCAACAAGGCAAAATCCCGTCTTTGCTAAACATTTAAAAAAAATTAGCCAGGCGGGGTGGCGCATGCCTGTAATCCCAGCTACTAGGGAGGCTGAGGCAGAGAATCGCGTGAACCCGAGAGGCAGAGGTTGCAGAGGGCTGAGATCTGTCACTGCACTCCAGCCTGGGCAACAGAGTGAGACTCTCCTCAAAAAAGACAAAAAAAGAAAAAAGAGCATTGCTCTTGGTCACATTTATCAACTAATTTATACCTTGGTTTCCTCATCTGCAAAACTAGGAATGGTAAATTATGAATATTAACTACAGTAAAGGACTGAGAATACCCAGCACACAATAAAACTGGGGATATATACCTTTTAAGTTGTAAATGAAACACATAATGTATATAAAGTGCTAATAACAATCTCTGCATGTAGTGGATATTCAACAAATATTATCATCTCTCAGGTAAAAAAGTTACATATGGGTAACAGTTGAGATGTTAACAATGCCTTCAAATTCATCTCAAATCAAGTATTTATTTTTTATTGAGCACGTATTTTACCCAGGAATTGATCACAAGGAATTCCTAGTTTGTTCCAAAGAGGTTCACAGAGTGTCAATACAAGTATGTTTAATTTTGGAAAAAAAAAACAAAAAAAACTATTTTCAGAATAGACTAAAAAATATGTTCATAGCTGACTATGAACCACAGTACTGTATTAAAGTACCATTATTACAGACTAAAAATGGGTCACTATTTAAAACTTCACATGGTTCAACCACGTTAAACAAATTTATAACCAACAGGAAACATTTTGGATAGAATTCTTATCAGCCAAGCATGGTGCTGCACACCTGTAATCCTAACTACTTGGGAGGTTGAGGCAGGAGGATTCCTTGACTCCTGGAGTTAAAGGTCTGCAGTAAGCTACGACTGCACCACTGCATTCCAGCGGGGGTGACAGTGAGACTCTGTCTCAATTTTGAAAGAAAGAAAAAAAGAATAGGGCGTTTACTTAACTTTTAACTGTGGAAAATACTAGATTTAAAAACAAAACAAGGCTGGGTACAGTGGCTTACACCTGTAATCCCAGGACTTTAGGAAGCTGAGGGGGGCAAATGGTTTGAGGCCAAGAGTTTGAGACCAGCCTCATCAATGTAGCAAAACCCCATCTTGACTGAAAATACAAACAAAATAAATTAGCCGGGCCGGGCGCGGTGGCTCACGCCTGTAATCCAAGCACTTTGGAGGCCAAGGCAGGCGGATCACCTGAGGTCGGGAGTTCATGACCAGCCTGACCAACATGGTGAAACCCCGTCTTAAAAAATAATAATAATAATAATAAATTAGCCAGGCGTAGTGGTGTGCACCTGTAGTCCCAGCTATTCAGGAGGCTAAGGCAGGAGAATTGCTTGAACCCGGGAGGTAGAAGGCTGTAGCGAGCTGAGATCATTCCACTACACTCCAGCCTAGGCAACAGAACAAGACTCCATTTCAAATAAATAACTAAACACAAAAAGACTAGCCAGGCATGGTGGCTCATGCCTGTAATAACAGCACCATGGGAGGCAGGGGTGGGAGGACTGCTTTAGCCCAAGAGTTTGAGACCAGCCTAGGCAACATAGTGAGACCCTGTCTCCACAGAAAGAAAAAAAAATCCAGAGACTGGGATTGAGACTCCAACTTATAACAATCATTACTCTCTGAAAAGCTGTCTTAATACATACCTTTTAGGAATTTTGAGATAAAAATTCTAACAGGCAGAATGGAGAAAAATAATTAAGCTTGGGGAGAAAAGATGAGACCCAATTATCTACCTGTTTTCACCTTTACAACCTCAAGAAAGTTAAAATAGAGAATTAAAGTCCCTTGAGATCTTCTAGGAAAGAGAAAACTACAACAGGGAGAAGCTGCTGCTCATCAGATGTTGGATTTGTTCGGCCTCATGTGTGCATTGTCTGACTCCAGTTCCTTACTAGCTATGTAATCTTAGGCAGTCCCTTAGTATACCTGAGCCTCTGCTGTATGCTGGAATAAACAATAAGCTCCCTGCAGAATTATATAAAATAATTTATATAAAAGATATAAAGCAGTGTCCAAATATACCAGAATATCAATGAACTTTTTTCCCACCAATGCACATCCTGAATTAACACTTTTAGGTAAAAGCTTATCAATCTGTACACAAAATATACAGCCTGCTCACACCAAATGTTAACACGTCTAAGTGACTCTTAAAGAGAAGTCAGATTGACTCCGCATTCATAGAATGAAAATGCACTTGTTAAACTCAGCTAGGAGTGATGGCTTATACCTGTAATCTCAGCACTTTGGGACGCTGAGGCGGGCAGGTTGCTTGAGGTTAGGAATTTGAGACCAGCCTGGCCAACATGGCCAAACCCCACCTCTAAAAAAAAAATACAAAAATTAGCCTGGCACAGTGGTACACACATGTAGTCCCAGCTACTAGGGAGGCTGCGGTGGGAGGATCACCTGAATCCCGGAGGTCCAAGCTGCAGTGAGCTGTGATCATGCGCCACTGCTCTCCAGCCTGGTGGACAGAGTGAGACCCAGTCTCAAAAAAAAAAAAAAAAGGCAAACTTATTTCTGAAAGAGTGACTAATCAACATTCAGACAGCTTTCTATAGATCAGTTTCCTACACATTACCTTATTCGTCAATTCTCAGAACCACCCTGTGACATGAGTACTACTAGTATCATCAGATGAGAAAAACCAACGGCCACAGTCTTCAAGATGCTTTCCTTAAGTCACAATGCCACTTAAAAGGCAAAATGGGCCAGGTGCAGTGGCTCATGCCTGTAATCCCAGCACTTTGTGAGGCCAAGGTGGGCGGATCACCTGAGGTCGGTAGTTCGAGACCAGCCTGACCAACACGGAGAAACCCCATCTCTACTAAAAATACAAAGTTAGCTGGGCATGGTGGTGCATGCCTGTAATCCTAGCTATTCAGGAGGCTGAGGCAGGAGAATCGCTTGAACCTGGGAGGTGGAGGTTGCCGTGAGCCGAGATCACGCCATTGCACTCCAGCCCTGGGCAACAAGAGTGAAATTCCGTTTCATAAAAAAAAAAAAAAAGACAAAATAGATTCTGGAGCCTTAATGTTCTGGCTTCATAGCTTGTATTCTTTTTATATAATATTAAGTCTCACAATGACATTGTAACATATGTTAGCCCCTCTTCATAGGTACAAAACTGACTCCCAAGCCAGTTAAGAAACGTGTGCAGTGACACCCTACAAGTAAAGCAGCACAGCAACGGCAGAACACACACCTATGACTTCAAAGACCACTCTTCTTTTTTTGAGATGGTGTCTTGCTCTGTTGCCCAGGCTGGAGTGCAATGGCATGAGCTTGGATCACTGCAACCTCTGCCTCTGGAGTTCAAGCAATTCTCCTGCCTCAGCCTCCCTAGTACCTGGGATTACAGGCCCCTGCCACCACACCCATCTAATTTTTGTAGTGTTAGTAGAGGGAGGGTTTCACCATGTTGGCCAGGCAGGTCAGGAACTCCTGACCTCAGGCAATCCACCTGCCTCAGCCTCCCAAAGCGCTGGGAAACAGTTGTGAGCCACTGCACCTGGCCCAAAGAACACTCAAGTCACCTCACCACATTTTTTTTTTTTTTTGAGACGGAGTTTCACTCATGTTACCCAGGCTGGAGTGCAATGGCGCGATCTCGGCTCACCGCAAACTCTGCCTCCTGGGTTCAGGCAATTCTCCTGCCTCAGCCTCCTGAGTAGCTGGGATTATAGGCACGCACCACCATGCCCAGCTAATTTTTTGTATTTTTTAGTAGAGATGGGGTTTCACCATGTTGACCAGGATGGTCTCGATCTCTTGACCTCGTGATCCACCCGCCTCGGCCTCCCAAAGTGCTGGGATTACAGGCTTGAGCCACCGCGCCCGGCACCTCACCACATTTAATTTAAAAACACCTTTGACATTAAGAAGGTAAAAGAGACTATTAATACAAGTTCAGGGAGCAGTGGCTCATACCTGTTACCCCAGCACTCTGTGAGACCAAGGTGGGAGGATCGCTTGAGCTCAGGGTTCAAGACCAGCCTGGGCAACATAGTGAGACCCCATCTCTATTTAAAAAAAATTTTTTTTAAAAAGACAAAAAACAAGTTGAGAGCGTTTACACAGGACTGATTCATTAGCTACACTGATCAATTTCAAAATAAAGTCAAGAAGGAGAAAAGCCAGGGAAAAGAGATTTGGATAATAATCATTATAACCTCAGTTCGTGTCGAACTCTTCCGTAACGGCATTAAACTTTCTATCACAGAAGACTTAGGGACGTCAAGACATGATAAAACAAAACCAAACACTCTTTTCAACCTACTGATTTCTTTTCGGCCTGAGAAGGTCCGGGCGATCCAAAGCCCCCTGGGGACTGCGTGTAGCCGCCAGCTCCCCCGTAGTTGGAGCTGCCATAGCTTTCGAATCCACCTGTTTTGAACAACAGGATTAGCGCCTGTGCCACTTCACATGCCTTGGAGAAACCCGCAGGCTCCCTGAGGCTTTGCCCCTCCAAACACTGATCGCGTCCCCCTAACCTTCGTCTTTGCCTTCCTGAGACCCCCAAACTCCCCAGCTCCGTTCTCACTCCTCCCCTCCCGCTGTCACACGCCTCTCGGACCCTAGGCTCGTCCTCTTGCTAAAATCTCCTGCGATTCTCTTCCTCCTCCGCCCCGCACCCCCATCATTACTGTTCCACATCTTGGTCTCGATTCTCCGCAAAGAGGGCGAGAAGGTTCGGATCTCGGCAAGTTGCGGAACAACCCAGAACTCGCGCTACTCCGCGGCTCTGGATACTTTTTTCTGGCGCCACGAACTCCTTCCCGCGAATGACCGAGCCAGTCAGCGGCTGGGCTGCTTCTCGCTTCAGCCAATCGGTGCCCAAGAATGCCGCGCCTGTTCCTGTCCTCTCTGCCCACGCTCCGGAAAACGCGCACTGCGCTTCCAGTTGGCTCCAAAAGCCTCCGCGGCCATCTTTACAAAGGGCAAAACCCTCCACGCAAGCGGAAGCAAAGCGTTGGTTGGGCGGTAGCGCAAGAAATCAACCAATCAGAACAATACTGAAGCGCCAGGTTATTTCACCCTCGTCAAGTGCGCGACTTCTAACGTCACTTCCTTTGTTCAGCGAGCTCGGGTTCCCGGCAAACTGGCACCAAATGTTTAGATCAAAGTTTGAAGCCTTATCTAAACGCGGTAGTGGAGTTTCAGCTTCGGTGTCTGCCACCCGCGGTCGCGCGGGAATTGGGCACCTCTGGGACTCGAAGTGCTAGCCTCACAGGACCGCTTGGAGTTGCTTATTCTTTTCCATAGTGAGTCAGATTTTCTTCGTGTAATGCCACCAGTGGTCCCCATTCTCCCCAGTGGGGCTGTGAGAAACCTCCGCACTCTTGCCCATGACAGACTTGTGAAAGATCTCAGGGTGGCACCCCTCGTCCCCCACCTGTCCGTATCCCAGTCTCATCCAGGCTCTGCATCTCCAGTCGACAATTTCAGCCATTTTTCATAATTCTTCATATAACATGCTTGTCTGTTTCTCCCATAGGGAGTGGAACATGTTTGTCAGTTCCTTTCTCAAGTATTACTGAATTGTTAGAATTATTGTTCATTTATTTACTTTTTTAAAAAATTACATCGGCTGCAGTGGCTCATGCCTGTAATTCCAACACTTTGGGAGGCCCAAGCAGGGGGATCGCCTGAGGTCAGAGTTCCAGACCAGCCTGGCCAACATGGCAAAACCCCAACTCTACTAAAAATACAAAAAAATTGCCCAGGTATGGTGGCTCACGCCTGTAATCCCAGCACTTTGGGAGGCAGAGGTGGGTGGATCACCAGGTCAGGAGTTCAAAATTAGCCAGGTAATATTTTAAGATGGTGAAACCCCGTCTCTACTAAAAACACAAAAAAATTAGCTGGGCGTAGTGGTGGGCGCCTGTAATCCCAGCTACTTGGGAGGCAGAGGCAAGGAGAATCCATTGAATCTGGGAGGCAGAGGTTTGCAGTAAGCCGCGATCACACCACTGCACTCCAGCCCAGGCGACAGTGGGAGGCTCCATCTCAAAATAAATGAATCAATGAATGAATAATTAACTGGGCTTGGTGGCATGCACCTGTAATCCCAGCTACTCAGGAGGCTGAGAATGGCTTGAACCTGGGAGGCAGAGATTGCAGTGAGGCGAGATCATGCCACTGCATTCCAGCCTGAACCACAAATTGAGACTCAATTTGTGAACCACAAACAAAAAGAAAAGAAAAAATTAGCAAGCGCGTGGCTCACGAGTGTAATGTCAGCAATTTGGGAGTCTGAGGAGGGAGGATCGCTTAAGGCAGAAGTTAGAAACCACCCTTGTTAAGATAGCGAGACCCTCCCCCTCTCAAAAAATAATTTTAAAAAATTAGCCCGGTATGGTGGCACCTCCCTGTAATCCCCGCTACTCAGGGGGTTGAGGCAGGAGGATCGCTTCAGCTGGGGAGGTCCAGGCTGTAGTGAGACGTGATGGCACCACTGCACTCCTGCCTGGGTGACAGAGGCGTCCTCGACTCAAAAAAACCTCAGGTTCTTTGCCTCCTTTTTTTTTTTGTTTTTTTTTTTTTTTTTTTTTTCGCTCGTTTCCCAGGCTGGAGGGCAATGGCGCGATCTCGGCTCACCGCAACCTCCGCCTCCTGGGTTCAGGCAATTCTCCTGCCTCAGCCTCCTGAGTAGCTGGGATTACAGGCACGCGCCACCATGCCCAGCTAATGTTTTGTATTTTTAGTAGAGACGGGGTTTCACCATGTTGACCAGGATGGTCTCGATCTCTTGACCTCGTGATCCATCCGCCTCGGCCTCCCAAAGTGCTGGGATTACAGGCTTGAGCCACCGCGCCCGGCCTTTGCCTCCTTTTTCTTCTCCTCCTCCCGTTCCTCGTTATCCTTCTCTGCACCATCACGGCAGGGTAATTTATTTGTATTTATTTACGGTTTTGTTTTATTTTTTGGGACAGAGTCTTGCTCTATCACCCAGGCTGGAGTGCAGTGGTGCAATCCTGGCTCACTGCAATCTCTGCCTTTTATTTTTATGTTTTTTGCTTGTTTTAATTTTCTTTTGTTTTGCTTTTCGAGACAGCGTCTCGCTCTGTCGCCCAGGCTGGAGTGTAGAGGTGCTATCTCGGCTCCCTGCAACCTCCACCTCCAGTTCAAGCGATTCTCCTGCCCCAGCCACCCAGGTAGCTGGGATAACAGGCACGCACCACCATGGCTACATTTTCTGCTTTTAGTAGAGACCAGATTTCACGATGTTGCCCAGGCTGGTCTCGAATTCCTGGCCTCAAACAATCCAACCCCCACTGGCCTCCCAAACCACTGGGATTACACGTACGAGCCACTGTGCCAGGCCATTTTCTTTTTCTAGAACTGCAGGCACCGTCTTAAGCATTTTACATTTATTAACTCAGTCTTGTGATGTATATTGGTACTTTTATTGTCCCCATTTTAGATGAGGCCGTTGAGGCAGAGAGGCTAAGTGGTTGGACTCTGCATTCAAACTCAGAATGTCTGAATCCATCAACCAGTGTAGTTACTACACCTCTAGAACACACTAGAATCGGTCACAAACTCAAATGACAAATAGCGTCAGGCAAGAAAACTGTAGATGTAGTGCTTTAACAGAAGATTTTTTTTTAAAAAAAGTAGTTTCTTCACAGTAAGAAAAAGGCCTACATAAGCATAATAAATAGTAACTCAGGTAAGGAAGGTGGGCTCAGTGTTGCCAGGTCATCCAAGGTTTTTTGGGTTTTTTTCCTAGCAAATGCCAGAAATCTTGATTTTTATGTTAAAGTTTCAGAATTTTAAGTGTTTATAAGTAACTTTAAAATTTTAAATACTGTATGTGGGCCACATGCTGCTTGCATGCCATGACTCTCCTATAAATCACTGAGAAATACAGCCAAAGGCAGAAGACTGAGGCACGGTAAGATGACATTATTATAGCAAGCCTAAAGCAACTGAAATGTACACAGTCTGTCAAGAGAGATTTATGATATGTAAGATAAAATGTTTGAAATTAAGACTATTCTGGGGAATTGAAGATGCAGGTCGTCACGAATCCTACCCTAAGCGTGTTCCTGTCTTCTCTGGCAACATTCCAGACAACGCGCACTGTGCTCAGTGGCGTCTGAAGCCTCCGCGGCCATCTTTACGAGGGGCAAAACCTTCCGCGCAAGCGGAAGCAAGAACGTGCTGACAGGGCGGGTATCGCAGAAAATCAACCAATCAGAACAATACTAACGCCGCGCAGCGCTGTACGGTCTTAATCTCAAGTGCGCGACTTCTGACGTCACTTCCTTTGTTTGTTGTGCCTGGGTTCCTGCTAAGCTGTCACAGATCAGATGACGCCTTAATCTAGAGCCTGTAGTGGAGTTTCGGCTTCCGGACCCGCGGTCGCGCGGTAATTGCGCCCCTCAGGGACTCGCAGTGCTATCCTCACAGCGCCGTGTGGGGTGGCTTCTTTTCCATAGGGAGCCAGATTCTCTTCATATTTTGCCACCCCTATCCCAATTCTCCTCAGTCGGGATGTGAGAAATTTAGGCACTCTTGGCCATGACAGACTTTTGAAAGATCTGAGGGTGGCACCCCTCGTCCCCGACCTGTCCCCACCGGTCTCATTCAGGCTCAGCATCTCAGTCATTTCGACCATTTTTCTTAATTCTTCATATACGTGCTGGTCTGTTCCTCCCAAAGGGAGTGGAACATTTTGTCAGTTCCTTGCTTGAAACGTTACTGCATTGTTAGAATTGTATGTACATTTATTTATTTATTCAAGAAAAATTAGGAAGTGCCCTGGCTCACACCTGTAAACCCAGCAAATGGAGTCAGAGGCCAGGAAGACTCCTTGAGGCTGGAAGTTTGAGACCAACCTGGGCGATATAATGAGACCCTCCTAAAAATATTTTTAAAAATTAGCCAGGTAATATTTTAAAATAAAAATATTTTTTTAAATTAGCCATTTTGCAAGCGGCTGGGGTTCCAGCCTCTGGAGTGGCTGAGGTGGGAGGATCACCTGAGCCTGGGGTGTCCAGGTTGCAGTGAGCTGTGATGCTGCCACTGCACTTCAGCCTAGGGGACAGAGACTGTGACTCAAAAAAAAAAAAAAAAAAAAAATTGTTGATGCTTTCTTCCTGGCACTGTGCTGGCTACGGGGATTCAATGATAAGTAAGATAGACATGGCCCTTGGGCTCCTGGACTGTGTTTTTTCTTCTTTCTCCTTTTTTTTTTTTGGTGGCGGGGGATGGAGTCTCACTCTGTCGGCAGGCTGGAGTGCAGTGGTGCGATCTTGGCTCACTGCAACCTCTGTCTCCCTGGTTCAAGCGATTCAACGGCCGCAGCCTCCGGAATAGCTGGGACCACGAGCGTACACTACCACACCTGGCTAATTTTTGTATTTTAGTAGAGACAGGGTTTCACCATGTTGATCAGGCTGGTTTCCAACTCCTGACTTCAAGTGATTCTCCCGCCTTGGCCTTCCAAAGTGCTGGGATTACAGGCATGAGTCACAGTGTTTGGCCACATTTTACATTTATTAACTCAGTATTCGAGGTATGGTGGTATTGGTGAGACCAGCTCCCCATATATCAACGTGGATTCAAGACCTCTCAAAGTGAGCGAGTGATCGGTGAAAAAGAAAAAAAAAAAAAGACAAAGAAATAGTTTTCTTTAAAGCTGGGCCCAGGAGAGACACCACATAAACCCTCTCCGTGGATGTCTAACATTCCCCTGAAAACCTCAGTTCTTTATTAAGCTCTTTCAACAGGAGAGGGGAGTGAGGCTACACAACAGTGTGGAAATAATACAAAAAGAATACATTTGCAAAACTGGTGCATAAAAATCACAACGTGGTGTTATAAAAGCAGAACAATGTAAAGATAACTTTCTGTATGTCAGCATAGAAACCATACACCTTAGCAAGAATAGAGGTTAAACATAAACTTAACTATCAGCAAGAAACGCATTGGGCTCACAGCTGCAGGGGGAACAGGATCTGACACAGGACAACCATCCTGACCACAAAGCTGCAAGAGGAGGGGGCCTCCCTGCAGGCCTGCAGGAGCAGTGGGAGAAGAAAGATTTTTTTTTTTTTTTTTTTTTTTTTTTTTTGAGACGGAGTTTCGCTCTTGTTACCCAGGCTGGAGTGCAATGGCGCGATCTCGGCTCACCGTAACCTCCGCCTCCTGGGTTCAGGCAATTCTCCTGCCTCAGCCTCCCGAGTAGCTGGGATTACAGGCATGCGCCACCATGCCCAGCTGATTTTTTGCATTTTTAGTAGAGACGGGGTTTCACCACGTTGACCAGGATGGTCTCGATCTCTTGACCTCGTGATCCACCCGCCTCGGCCTCCCAAAGTGCTGGGATTACAGGAAGTCTGAGCCACCGCGCCCGGCGGAGAAGAAAGATTTTTACATTCTTATCTCCAGAGAGGTTTTTCCTCATGACAGATGCCCCTCATGCATCCGTTTATAGGTTCTCCATAGGGTTGCATTCTTTTCCAGGGCCCTAATCAATATCCCTTTCCTGGGAAAGCAACTTGGGTAATAAGACTCTCCATTACACGTCCATTTAGAGGCTCTCTGCAACAAGAAGCTTATTACGTGCTGTCATCTCTCTCTGGCAGTCACGCTGTGTGGTTTGTCCCTTTCACAAAGTTCCTATTTTTACAAGAACAGCTCAGCATTTCACATTATTCATTTTCTCAAATATAATCGATATAGTAAGTAACAAGCATAACAAAGCAAATAAGTCATTTCGGGGAAACCAAATTCTAAGAGAATTTACAAGTTAAATAATCAACAGCAATTTCTTCTTGTTATTTCAGATAGCTTGGGTTTTACCAATTCTTCCAGAAGCCTGGGGTTGCTCAGTCACCACAGAGGCATCCACAGTATTCCCAGCGTGATGGTACGTTTATAGTCCCCATTTTACAGATGAGGCCATTGAGGCAGAGAGGTTGAATGGTTAGAGTCCGCATTTAAACCCAGGAAGTCTGATTTCATCAACTAATGTAGTTACTAAACCTACACTAGAACTGGTCATAAACTCAAATGACAAGCAAGGTGAGGCGAGAAAACTAGATGTCATGGTTTGTTTAACAGAGGGGGGACTGGTTTTTTTTTTAAAAAAAATATTTTATCCACAGTAAGAAAAAGACCCACACAAGCATAGTGATACATAGTAACTGAGGTGAGGAGTGTGGGCTCAGCTTTGCCAGGTCATCTTAGGGTTTTTTTGTTTTTATTTGTTTGTTGTTTAGCAGATACCATAAATCTCATTTTTTATGTGAAATTTTCAGAATTTTAAATGTTTATAAGTAAATTTAAGAATTTTTAAATACACTATGTGGGGCACACAAAAGATATCTGTGGGTCACATGTTGCTTGCATGAAATGACTCTTCTATATAAATTCTATAATTTCTCAAGCCTCCAAATCACTGAGAAATAACATACAGCCAAGGACAGAAGACTGAGGTACACCAAGATGACATTATTATAGCAAGCCTAAGGCAACTGAAATATACATAGTCTGTCAAGAGCATATTTATGATATATAGAATAAAATGTTTGAAATTAAGACTATTTGGGAAAGTGAAGATGCAGGTTCACTTAGGTTAATGGGCCTCATTTGGGCTTCAGTTACTTATAAATTCAGCTGAGAAGATAATAACATTTAAAAATAAACCAGAAAGGGCCAGGCGCGGTGGCTCAAGCCTGTAATCCCAGCGCTTTGGGAGGCCGAGGCGGGTGGATCACGAGGTCAAGAGATCGAGACCATCCTGGTCAACATGGTGAAACCCCGTCTCTACTAAAAATACAAAAAATCAGCTGGGCATGGTGGCGCGTGCCTGTAATCCCAGCTACTCAGGAGGCTGAGACAGGAGAATTGCCTGAACCCAGGAGACGGAGGTTGCGGTGAGCTGAGATCGCGCCATTGCACTCCAGCCTGGGCAACAAGAGCGAAACTCCGTCTCAAAAAAAAAAATAAAATAAAAATAAAAAAAATAAACCAGAAAGAGCCAAGTGCAGTGGTACACCATGCAGGCCCAACTACTTGGGAGGCTGAGGCTGGAGGATCACTTGAGTCCAGGAGTATGAGGCTGCTGTGTGCAATGATCCTGCCTGTGAATGGCCAATGCCCTCAGCCTGGACAACGGAGCAAGATCCTATCTCTTAAAAAAAATAAAAAAGAAGAAAGGAAGTAGAATGTCTTAAAGTATAACCCGATGCCATCAAAATCAGATTTTTGCCCAGAATTTCGAGACCTGGATGATCTGATAAGTTAAATAGAGGAGTCAGTTCTCAATCAATGCCAAAGTAATTGGTATTTACTCTGTGTGTGTATGTGGTAGTAAACTCATCTCTTAATTTAGTTTTATCAAGTTGAAGACTTCCTGTCACATGAAAAAGGAATTTCTGGGAGGTCTTCAACTTTCTGCTCCAGGTAGGTTGTGCACTTTATTCCCAGACTGGGGGCTGTCAGGAAAATTTAAAGCAAGACTGAGAAGAAGGGAAACCCTCCTTTTTTCTTTTTTTTTTTTTTTTTTTTTTTGTGAGTCAGGCTCCAGGCTAGAGTGTAGTGGCATGATCACAGCTCACCGCAGCCTTGACTCAACCTCCCTGCCTCAGGTGAACTTCCCACCTCAGCCTCTTACATAGCTGGGACTATAGCTGTGTGCCACCACACACAGCTAATTTTTCTATTTTTTGTAGAAACGGTGTTTCACTGTGTTACCCAGGCTGATCTCAACCCCCTGGGCTCAAGTGATCTGCCCAGCTCGACCTCCCAAAGTACCAGGATTACAAGTGTGGTCCCACTGAAATCATCCTTTAAAACCAATCTGGTGACACACCTATTAGGGTTGCTGCTATCAAACAAAATAGAAAACAACAAGTGTTGGTGAGGATGTGGAAAATGGAAACGTCTGTGCACTGTTACTGGGAATGTAAAATAGCGCAGAAACTATGGAAAACAGTGTGGGGGTTCCTCAAAAAATTACAAATAGAATTACCATATGACCCAGCAATTCTACTTCTGTGTCTCTACCCAAAATAATTGAAAAAGAGGACTCAGAAATATTTGAACACTTGCATGCATAGCTGCATTATTCATGATACCCAAAGGTGGAAGCAACCCAAGTGTTCATTGACAGATAAAAGGATAAACAAAATGTGGTATATACAGTGGAATAATATTCAGCCTTAAAAAGGAAGGAAATTCTAGACATGTTACAAAGTGGAGAACCTAAAAAATTGCAAAGTTAAATAAGACAGTCACAAAAGAACAAATATTATCTGATTCCACTTATATGTGGTGCCCTGAGTAGTCTAATTCATATGCACAGAAAGTCAAAGGGATACAAAAATTAACCCAGCATGGTGGTACACTTGTACGCTCAGCTACTTAGGAGACCTGAGGCAGGAAGATGGCTTGAGCCTGGGAGGTGGAGAGATCACGCCGCTGCACTGCAGCCTGAGTGACAGAGCCAGACCCTGTCTCAAAAAAAAAAAAAAAAAAAAAAAAGTCAAATAGTGGTGGAGGGCAATGGAGAGTTAGTATTTAATGAGTACAGAATTTCAGTTTGGGAAGATGGAAAAGTCCCAGAGGTGGTGGTGATGTGGTAATGGTTGTACAACAGCGTGAATATATTTAATGCTACTGAACTGTACACCTAAAATGGCTAAAGTGCTAAATATTATGTTTTATATATATATATATATGTACACACATATGTAAAACCACAATTAAAAACATTATTATTATTTTTTTAGTTCTTTTCACTATCCACCTGGAGATAAAAAACATTATTTTTTTAAAGACAGGAAAAAATAACCCAATCCACTCTTTGTTGAATACGTACCACCTGCCAAGTACATGCATTATTTACTCTGCTAACTGTTTAATATATGTCTCAATGTTTTGGACCTGCCATTTTAACCTCTAATGTCATTTTGCCTCCATTTCATAAATATACATATTTTATTTTTAAAATACACATATTTTAATCAGATCTAACCCAATATTGGTGAATTTCCATTTATACTTAATTCTCTGTTTAACATTTTGTACAGATTAAGTTGCCAATTTCCAATTTTTGCCATTTTAATTCTGCGGAAATCAGTTTTGTGGAGTATTTCCTAGGCAAAGTTTACAAGGAAGATTTAGTTGATCAATAAAAACTAGATCCCTATCAAATTTTAGAGTTTCCATATCTGCTACTGTCACTTTATGAGTGCTCCTTATTTGTATTAAGTATAGTTTTTTGTTTTTTTTTTATATGGAGTCTTGCTCTGTTGCTCAGGCTGGAGTACAGTGGCATGATCTCTGCTCACTGCAACCTCTGCCTCCTGGGTCTAGGCAATTCTGCTTCAGCCTCCTGAGTAGGTGGGACTACAGGCATATACCACACCTGGCTAATATTTTGTATTTTTAAAATTAAAGATGGGGTTTCACTGTGTTAGCCAGGATGGTCTTGATCTCCTGACCTTGTGATCTGCCCACCTTGGCCTCCTAAAGTGCTGGGATTACAGGTGTAAGCCACCATTCCCGGCCAAATTTTCTTTTTTCTTTTTTTTTTTTTTTGAGCTGGAGTCTTGCTCTGTCTAGCTCAGGCTGGAGTGCAGTGGCTCGATCCTGGCTCACTTCAACCTCGGCCTCCTAGGTGTAAGCAATTGTGCTGTCCCAGTCTCCCAAGTAGCTAGGATTACAGGAGCCCGCCACCAGGCACGGCTAATTTTCTGTATTTTTAGTAGAGATGGGGTTTCACCGTACTGGCCAGTCTCAAATTCCCTACCTCAGGTGATCCTCCCACTTTGGCCTCGCAAAGTGCTGGGATTATAGGCATGACCCACCGCACCTGGACTGGGGTGATTTTTTAAACACATGATTTTCCAAAATTTTTTTTAGTCTAAGATAATTTTACTAGAGTTTTAGCTGTTTTCAGTTTTAAATTGCACTGATTATTTCTACTAGTGATAATCATTATGAATGGATAATATTGACAGAATTACTTTTAATATCAGAGAGGCTTTTCTATGTAAAGCAGAACATTTCATTCGCAACTGTTGTTTGTTCCTCAGTATACGTAAGGGATCAGTCCAGGATCCCTAGTATACCAAAATCTGCCTATACTTAAGTCCCACAGTTGGCCCTGTGGAACCTGCTAATATGCGAAGTCAGCCCTGCCATACTGGGTTTTGTGTCCCAATAATACTATTTTCAATCTGTGATTGGTTGAAAAAAATCCAAGTAAGTGGGCTGTGCGCAGTGGTTCACACCTGTAAGCCCAGCACTTTGGGAGGCCAAGGCTGGCGGATCACTTGAGGTCAGGAGTTCAAAATCAACCTGGCCAACACGGTGAAACCCTGTCTCTAGGAAAAATACAAAAAAGGTAGCCAGGCATGGTGGTGGGCACCTGTAATTCCAGCTACTCTGGAGGCTGAGCAGGAGAATACCCTGAACCCAGGAGGCAGAGGTTGTAGTGAGCAAGATCTCACCACTGCACTCTAGCCTGGTGACAGAGGGAGATTTCATCTTAAAAAAAAAAAAAAAAAAAAAAAAAACCCGTATAAGTGGACCCGTGCAGTTCAAATCTGTGTTGTTCAAGGGTCAACTGTATTGTTCAATGCTCAATTTATGAAGCTCTAATAGCTAATAAAACTTGAAATCAGGCCGGGCGCGGTGGCTCAAGCCTGTAATCCCAGCACTTTGGGAGGCTGAGGTGGGCAGATCCAAGGTCAAGAGATCGAGACCATCCTGGCCAACATGGTGAAACCCTGTCTCTACTAAAAATACAAAAATTAGCTGGGCGTGGTGGCATGCACCTGTAGTCCCAGGTACTTGGGAGGCTGAGGCAGGAGAATTGCTTGAACCCGGGAGGTGGAGGTTGCAGTAAGCCGAGATTGTGCCAATGCACTCCAGCCTGGTGCCTGGCGACAGAGTGAGACTCTGTCTCAAAACAAAACAAAACTTGAAATCAAACCTTTGGGTATTTAAACATTGTTTACACATTTAATTAAATATGCTTAAAATTTTAAAGCACAATTAAGGTTTTAGTATGTCTGATTCTTATGAATACTTCAGATATCTTGAAGAGCAGACAACACATACAGAAGTAATGGTTTATTGGGAAGCTGGTGAGGTTTAAGTTTCAGGTCCCTCACTTGC